AAAAAGCTGGAATTAGAAATACCAGTTGATCCAGCAATCCCCTTATCAGGTATGTTCTGAAGAGTGAAAGCCAGGACAAGAACACATATACACATACCCATGTCCATCACAGCACTATTTGCAATAAGAAAAAGATGGAAACAACCTAGATGCCTACCAACAGAAGAGGAGATAAGCAAACTATGGTACATATACATAATGGAATTCTATGGAACACTAAAGTAAAATGTAGAATCTACAAAACTCTGCATAATGTGGATGAATTTGGAGAACATTATTTTGAGTGAAATAAGTCAATCACAGAAGGATAAATATTGTATTATTCCATTACTGTAAAAAGTCTAGGAAATGTTTATATATGGAAGGAAACTTTCTTTGTTGGTTACCCAACATGGGAGGGAAAGAGTAGAGACAAGTATTGATTTGAGTGAAGGGAAGGACAATATACCAAATGTGAGTGATCAACACAATGGCACTGAGGAAGAGGAAGATATAGAGAGGTACATGGGAGGTACAGACAACAAAGACAAACCCTTTTGCATACAGCATTGTCAGTGATGGCAAGCATTGATCTATGGGTGGATAGATGGGTGGACATGCTGAACAATCAGGTACATCTAGGAAGGGGGTAGTGTGCCCGTGACTGTGTATAGGGTTGTTGTTGTTGTTGTTGTTAGGTGCCGTCGAGTCGTTTCTGACTCATAGCAACGCCATGCACAGCAAAAGGAAACACTGCCCGATCCCGCCAGTTCCATGATCCCTGCTATACTTGAGCCCATCATCACAGCCATCATGTCAATCCATCTCATTGAACTCTTCCCCTCTTTTGTTGACCCTCCACCCTACCAAGCATGACATCCTTCTCCAGGGAGTGGTCCCTTCTGACAACATGACCAAAGCAGGTGAGATGAAGTCTGGCCATTCTCACTTCCAAGGGGCATTTTGGGAGCACTTCCTTCAGGACAGATCAGTTAGTTCTTTTAGCAGTCCTCTGGAAGTTCTCTGTCAATATACTGCTGCAACCATTTTTGAATTATC